TGGCCATGATTCATTCAGGGTTGGGATCATGGAGGAGGTCAATGCTTGTTGATGTTGAACTCTTCCATAGCTCTGTAGATCATTACCCAACCCACTGGAAAACTTTCATACACAAGAGGAGCTGTGGCTACATCAGAGGGCGTAACTACCAATTATGGGGTCCCATAGCAAAATTCTGAGGGGGCCCCATCCAGACTCTCTCTCTGTAGCAGCTGGCAGTGTCAACTTTGACAATAGGTGTCATTGATCTTAACATAGAGTATGTCTAAATCGAGGACAGGGGGCAGGAGAGCTGTCAGTATAGTCAGTACTAGGGATGGGAGCTATATTAGTTAGTTATAGATGTAGTAATAATAATAATAATTAGGGATGCAACAATACCAATACTAGTATTGGTTCCGGAACTAAGTATTTGGGCAAGTACTCATACTTGCCCAAATGCTCCGATACTTACCCCCGATACCGGAACTTCCGGTCAGAGGGAGATTTCTTCTGACCTGAATTGCTGCGAGGGAACATGAAGCCGGCTTCCCGGCCAATCAGGAAGCCAGACGGTGGGTAATGACTCGCACCCAGCTTCCTGACTGGCCGGGAAGCCAGCTCCATGCTGCTTGGCTGGCCAAACAGCATCGAACCTGGCCAAACAGCATGGAGCTGGCTTCCCGGCCAATCAGGAAGCCAGGCGGTGGGTAATGACTTGCGCACAGCTTCCTGTGCACAAGCCGGCTCGATACTAATTGGATGGGAAGCCGGCTCCGTGCTAGTATAAGTACTGGTATCGGTACTCGGTATCGGCGACTACAGAAATACACATTACGGTACTCGATAACAGAAAACCGGTATCGGTGCATCCCTAATGATAATAAAGATATCAGATTGACACGTGAGCTGAGCGTCTTTGACCTTTTTTCTTAGCGTTTGTACAGTCCTGCATTTCAGATTTGACTGCATTTTTTTTAAAATTCATAACCAATGAAAATCTAGTTACTAGGCAAGAAAAAGTCATGAAAAACACATGTACAGTAAGACTACATTTGCATCTGAGCAGAGCGCATTTATGGTGATTTTGCACGTTTGTACACGCATACACGCATGTTTTAAAGCGTTAGATTTTTGCACGTGTCAGGTGTTTCTGTTTTGGTCAATGGAAAGCGGTTCTAGAAGAGGAGAGCAGTTCTTTAGGAGCAGAAATGATTTTAAAAAACAAAACAAAACTCATTGTTCTTTTTTGAGCTTCAAGGGACTGAACGTAGAGATGTGAACGTGATGTTGAGCGTTGTCGCGGGTAGACAAATACATAAAATCATGCAAGGGTGAATAGGGGCTTAAGGGCGTTTTTGCTCGTGTTTTTAGGTACTCCCATTGAAGTCTATTGGGGCCAAGACGCACAACTCATGCCTCAAAAGGAGGTCATGTACCTTTTCGAGCTACGAGCTTCAAGAGACACTACACTCAGGTGTGAACGTGCACCATTGAATATAATGGGGAAATCCTGGCGTTGAAGTGCTTCTAGCGAAACTTTAAAGGAGAACTATGGGGTCAGTGTTTTTCCCCATAGTTCTCCTTGGGGTAACAGGAGGACACAAACTAGCGTCCTCCCGTTACCCTAAGCTCAGTATACCGCGAGCTACAGCTCGCGGTATACTGAGACGCCGCACCTGGAGCGGATCCCGACTTAGATGATGGGATCCGCCCAGCTGCGTGAGTGACAGCTGGCTCTGCCTATCTAGAGGCAGAGCCAGCTGTACCCGCCCCCTCCCCGTCCGTTCCGCCAGTCAGCGCTGGCAGATCGGAGCGGGGAGAAGGGAATCCAGCCCCTCCCCCTGTCACAGCAGAGAGCCGTGACAGGATCGAGAGGTGAGGGAACCCGGTATGTGTTCGCTCACCTCCCGATCTACTGAGCCGACCTGTGACAGTCTCATTGTCACAGGTCGGCTTAGAACTATGAGGTGAGTGGAAATCACTCATGTCATAGTTCTCCTTTAAATCGTGCTTCAAATAGGCGTGAATGGAGCAATACTATTTTTTGACGGCACTAGGCAAGCAGGGTTAAGGTGGAACCCCGGAAAGATAAAACAAAAAAAAACTACCCTTGCAGTGGGTTTCCCCCTTCCCTGCAAGGGTCAAATGCTCATTTTTGCTTAGTCAGCTGAACAGATGCTTCTTACAGCACAGAGGGGGATTTGTGACCAGACTGAGGTCTGATGTCATAGTTTCGTTTTCCTCTAATGTGCCCCCCTCTGCGCCATTGGGCCACATAACTATATCATTAGAAAGAATGCAGTGCAATGTCCTGCAGGAACTTATAACAGACACCCTTGATTATGGCCACAAAAAAAATGTATTTTGTACGCTGCCCTGCATCTAACATCTATATATATATATATATATGTGCAGATATTTTAATTTATGGATTGCATGGCACCCAGCTTCTCTCCCCTAAGCATGTGACAGCTGCACCAAGAGCTCATCTTCCATCATGCAATGGGACTTTTCACTGCTCTGCTGCTGCATGGGCTGTTCTGTTAGTATGCTCTAGTGGAGGATGTAGAGACATGCGCTTATTTTGGTAGGAGGTGTATTGATCGGTGGTGCTCAGGAAAGCTGATTAAATGGTAAAACCAAATTTCCCCGGTTAATTTGGGGAAAATGGAATTACCCCCTACAATCTGGCCCCCTATAATCCCCCAC